TTGCAAATATTTTCTTAAAAATATATTTGTATATATTTAAGTATTCACTGTCCACTGATACGTCTTTATAAATTTGAACGTGTATGTTAGTTCCAGTATCCAACGGATTAAATTAAAACATTGATTAAGATAAAATTCATGATTACTTACAAGTCAAAGACGAGATAATGACTATTCTCCTCTTGTATGCTCTCATGTAGTCTCACTGTAACAGAAAATTAAAGAGAAACATTAACTAATGATCGAACAAACCTATCCCTATTCTTCAAGAAAAACGTCAAATTCCTAACATATACCCAATCATAGTAAATCCGTTCTCCTCCACTAGAAATACACAGTTACCACAGACTTTAATACAGAGACGATAATCTCGGCTTTCGAATTTCCACGGAACTTCCTATTCAACTGTTCGCGAAATAACCGGTGCAAATCTGTCAGTGATAACGAGGTAGTCCTTCGAGTAAAACCAAAGACAATCAGAAGAAATCGTAGCAAAACTCTTCTCACGTTCGTCGAACAAATTGCCCTCATTTATAACACATCCCATAGAACTGATACAATAAATCGAATAAAAAATCGCATATTAAATGATGTCATGAATCAAGTATCAAAATTATATAACATCCGATATATCGTACATACGACACGATATGGACACGCATCTCCAGACTTAAACCCTTTGTTATTAATTATTATTTTAAGTGGTGGAATATTTGAAGCGAGGGAAATCGATACACTCGTGCACGGTCGAGTATCATTTGCATCCGTGACGGTTCGCTCGTTCATTAGGGTCAACGAAGGAGACATTTCTCGCTATGTACGAACCAATGGTACCGCGTCGAATCGGTCTTAATTAATGTCAAGTGACGGGCCGAGACCGCGCGGAGCAGTATCAAGCGGAATGAAACCAGCCCGAGGGTACCAAGCTTTCAATGAAAACGTATTCCAGTTTCTTCCTGACACGTTACACCTCCGTTCACAAGTTTCAGAACTCTTCTGGGAGCTTATTATCAATCAGGACGTCTGACAATTATTCCTATCCGAGAGACAACTCCAACTGACGTAACAAGGAATCGTGCAATGAATTGTACGATAAATGAAATAAATCATGAATAAAGGAAAGAATAAACATGAATTATAAAATTCCTATAAACCATCTTCTAACACGATAGAATAATAATAAATTTTTTAATAACTTGACCCTCTGTTTTACGATATGTCCCAAGAGTTATAAACGGTGGTGTACAGCTTCATAAAACTGAAGCTTCGAATACGACAGAACTGTTGAATTATCTATAAGGAGACTATAAAAATTCGGATCGATAATCGAAGACGTGGACGGACGTCTCGAGCGAGATGAGTGTGTCGAATCTACGAGGGGCAGAGTTTAATGAAAATGGAAGAGATATCCGAAAGAATGAGACACCGGTACAGACGGCAGATATCCTCCTCATCATCTCTTCCGAATGATCCTCGAATCGATCAGCTTGGGTAAGGGAGAAAGACAGGAAGCCTATCTTCCAGTCTCTTTGATACCCTCAGCCGATCCAATAAAGATCAAGAGGGAACCGGAGATCAGACACTAGAACAGGCGTTATTATATGGGAATTTTCATCGGCGAGAAACGATCGCGAGGCACGTTTCGGATCCGGATAATTTTTCTACTCGTAGAAACCGTCGATGCGATCAACGCCGTGTCAGAAGGCAACTGCGTTTTATTAGAATGTATCGCACGTTCGTATTAAAACTTATACACGATGTTCGTATTGTGTAATAAAAAGAGCATTGAAGATATGAAACAATACCTCTGGGAATTGTAACAGGCATAAAAGTGTGTACTAAACGGTTCTCTTATTCACACGTAGTACTCGTATAGTTCTATTGATAAGCTTTAGGACATTTTCAAGTGCCTCTATTAAAAAGTCTAACAAATATTCCATATTAATCATCAGGAACTGTCGTACTTAAATAAATCATATAGAAATAAGTATTTAACCCATCATACGTCATGAATAGTTATGCAAAAATTTTAAGTGAAGAATAAGCATTCTTTAATCTTACCAACTTTTTATATCAATCAAACAGCCTATCTTTGTAAATTTTCCTAAGATATATGAACGACGGTGTAGAGTGAAAATCAACTTTGATCGTTACTGTGTCTACCGTAGTTCAGTTCGAACAAAATATAAAGTAAACTGGTTGGCACAATGGCCTGTGAACTCCGTATCGCATAATAGACCGCCAAAAACACGTGCACTATCATGTAACAATGCCGGGTCTCGTCCATTCATCGCAACTTTGCTGAAGAAGTAGTTAAACGCAAAGTCGCTCTTCCGACAGTCGATGCGAATAACTTGGAGAACGGAAGAGAGCGTTAATCTTGGTCAGAAGAGAAAGAGAGAGAGAGAGGAACGAGAGTGTATCGATCCGAGAGAAGCCACACCTCGAAGCGGAGCGGCGCGTTGCCACGCGTTCTCTCGCGATTTTCGTTCCACTTCCCTTATTCCCCGAACACCTTCGGCATTAAACTTCCGCTGAAATGTCGCGCATATTCTGTCGTGATTTATCTCCCGTTAACTCTCGGCTAAAGCGTTTCCTCAGTTACAACTTGTCTCACGATTCTGCATTAATAAATTTGCAAAATGTTCGTGAGATCCATCAGTCTCGTCGCACGGGGCTTTTGAAGAGCCTTTTAACCTTTGATAATATCTTATTTATTCAACTAATTATAAACTCGATAAATGTTCCACAGCGATACGCGCACAGATCTGTCCGACTGCTTCATCATTCAATAAAAAAATCTGATGTAAATATTCCAAATTAATATCAGAGTCTGCGTCAATTTATTACTGTAATAAATCATTAATACTATTCCTGACAGAAAGCTTTTAATCAATTTAATATTAATATGGAGCTGAATAAAAACGCTTGAGAAATTGAGAGAAAATAAGAATTATTTTATGATTGTGAAGAATCTATTAGTTGAGCTAGTTTCTGATAAGTGGAATTTGTCTGATTTTTTAACAGACAATAATTAATTGAAAAAATGGGAAAGTAAAGGAAAGTTAAGGAACGGAGGAGATTCGGAGAGGGGATCGATAGGTATCACTTGTTGACTGGACGTAGCTGATGAAAACGGGAAGAGAACGCGGTAATTCATCGGTCACGTCTAGTCGATGGATAGAGCCGTATGATGAATAAAAGAAACTCCTGCCGCCTTCCTTATGAATTATGGAATCGGCTCGACCGATTTAACAAACCTCCCTCCATCGGCTTTTGTCAGCGAACTTGCTGGATAACGGCTTCTAATTCGTACCAGCGACACTTACACCTGTTCCCCCCTGAATTGAACTAATCTTAAGGATGAACAGATTTCAAGTTGCTTTATTTAATATAAGATGCGAACAGAAGTTCCGACCATTTGCAAGTAGCAAGTTTTACAAAATCAAGATTAAGTCAATCATTAAAATTAAATATAAATTAACATACAACTTTTAAAGCTTTTATTCGTAGCTTAGTATAATCGATTTCTACAAGAATAAAATCTACCAACAAATTCGTAATCTAAAAAGAAAATTCCAATAAAAATTCGAGGATTTTTATCCGTTAAAGAGACCCTCGAAGTTCGATTTTCCTTGATCGCGAATACTTCGCAGAAGATTTGGTGGTGGGATATCTTAGGATTCAGGTGAGTCGATTCCCTTCCTGATGGGGAACGAGATTCGTCAAGATGGGAAAATTGCCCTGGCGACGAAGGAGGTCGGTCGGGCATGGATACGGAGTCCGACGCGCCGAGTATTGATCTACGCTACTTCCGGTTAGCTATCAAGCTTTCTCGGGAGATTCACGGGCAGCAGACGAGATGAGGATCGATGGTACGCGATAAAGGGGGCAAAGAACCTCGAGGAAGAGAAAATATAGGTAAATCCTGTAGAAATATATATGTATACATAGTTACAGTAAATTAATTCCTTCTCGTATGGTCATAATAAAGGCACTAGAAATTCTTAATTTTACACGAATAAGAAAAACCCGGAAATTCATTAGACATGAATATGAATCAACTGCGTTGCGACGATCTCGTGATAAATAATTCGATAAAAGAAATGATTAGGTAGAGATAACGAATGCTAATTACTACAAAGCCAGGGATTCACGGAGCGAAAAAAAGCACAGTCAAGACCGTATTTTCCACGTTCATTCCGTTTAATTATAACCCAGCTCTGCAATCTGTTCTCTCGCGAGATAATAATCGAACGAAAAATTGCGATCTGCAAAAAGAGGGCAGGGAACAAAAAAGATGGGAGAGTGAAAGAAACGTTGAATTTTCCCGGCAGGCCATAGTTCCGAACGCCATTTCCCGCGAACAATGTCCGCGTCAAAGCAAATGATTATCCCGTGAATGGAAACGTGTTCCGGCAACACGACGCGAATAGTTTCGATTGCGGCCGGTTATACGCTTGTACAGTGGCTACGAAAATTATTCGCCTTATTTTACGATTCCATTTCCACATCCTCACATCGCGTCACCGTTGCGTATCGTTATTGTGTACGCTGCTATTTATAAGTTTTATGACGTATTGTAAAACAGAATCGATAAGGATTATCATTTAAATTGTCTCCATTTGATTTGAACTACAATTTTGTCGGAACAATTCATGATTTACTGTACGGCCTTTTTATATACGATTTATTACACGATTTTTTATATAATCTATTATACGATTTATGTACATCGCCTGTCCATTTATACTGATACTTAACAGTAGTACAATAGTAGGATATGCTAGTAGAACACAGTCCAGTGGAAAATGGTTTCTATAGCCACTGTACATCGTTAGGGGATACACCTAACAGTGGCGATCAATGAAATTCGCTTACAAACGAATAAAAGGCCGACATTGGCCTGGCCGACTGTGTTCCACGCGTTCGCGTTTTCACTTCGATATCACCGCGGCACAGCGACGCTTTACCTTCCATTCAATCGATTAATAAAAACATTAATTGGCCCGGCGTACACACCGTGATGGACAGCTGAGAAATTCCTTTTTACTCGCTCCTCTGCTCTCCACGCTCGTTCCTTGTCGCGTTCCACGCTATTTTTTATATCCAGCTAATGGATTTTTTATCGTTATTCTTGCGCTACTCGTTTCCGTACACGTTTTGCTACCGTGGTAATCGCGAAGGTAACAATTTTACTAATTAAACTCCTCTCTCTCTCTCTCTGTTAATCCATTTGCATCATTACCGTATATCTATATACGTACAATTTTTCCGGCTATTATTACGAACGTAGTTACACAGAATGAACGAGCATCAAGTACCATTATTCTTCATTTAGTATATTAAACATTTTATTAATCGCTGCGTCCATTATTGTATCATATTACATGAAACAGTGTATCATCCATTATATGAAATATTGTATTAATTTGAATTTTAACCGGCAATATACGATGCAAATGAATTAATAAAAGATTCTACTGATCTGATAGTATAGGGTCCTTTCGCTGACTATTCAGATAAAACGATTGAATAAAATCCTGTGGTTGTTCATTTCCGATCTGATAACGCTCGGAGCTACGTTATCTTTCGTCTCGGCCCCTTTAGATAGATTGGATCGTTCAGGGAGAATCGTAAAAAATGCAATCGCGTTTCGAGCCTTACTTGGCACGCCCGGTCGAGAATTTTCCTCGCGGCGACGATACCTATTGGCCAGCGTCCAGCCTGGCCGCGTTTCGTCGTAATACTACTATAGAAGAACCGAGCCGGTTCAAGGTTGGCATTGTGCTAATCGCACGTGCGGTTACAAATTTCGTTGTTACCCAGAAACACCGACCTCCAAATATTTTATTACTCTCGAACGCCGGTTAGCTGTTGCAACGGGCTAGTTCGACCGGACGAATTTCAAAGCTTCAGGATCAGTGGATAATTTGCTCGTGCAACCGGGATCGGCACATGTGTGTACGTGCGGCACACGAACGACAATGGTCGGCGAGGTAAACCAGAGGACTCGTATCGACCGGTCTCCAGGGAGGGATCATACTTCCTAGACGGCAAACTACCCCTCGGATTAATTGAAATCGTGGCTCGATACTCCGCTCGGACTACCGTTACCTAATTGCCATCTCCTAAACGGTTCTTGCCCGTCGCTTTCCCCCTCGCAAGAAAATAAGTAACCCTTATACTACCTCACGTTCTAATTTAACCCTCTGTCAATTTGATACCTACGAAAAGATTTGTAAAGGAATTTAGACGAGGTTTTCTTAAATAATTTTAGATAATAATTTCACTATTCATCTCGTCATTTTATTCTGTCAATCTGGCAATAGAAGAAGACATTTGATTGAAAAAATGAGGGTTGAAAGTCACTAAGAAGATACACGAAGAATGTGCATTAAATAAGAGATGTTATAATTAATAAGATTTCTCGTTGGATGTTTAATTAGAAGATACGACAACACGTGGAGAAGGTCAATAAGCTTTCTTTCATGAACTTGACCAACAAGGAACGGAAATCGCACGATGTATACGATTAAAACTCAGCCTCGCGTAAATAATTTTGAAGCTCTGGGGCATCTCGGATTGTTGAAACGACGGACGACGTTAACCGGGTGCAGTGCAAAGAGAGGACCGATCGAGCCAATGCAACGTCACACACGTCCTGCTCGGCGGAGTGTTTGCGGAGCGTGGAGCGTGCACAGGTGGTTGCAAACGTTCCGGCCTGGCCTAATTACCCGCGCAGGCACGAATCGCACAGCTAATTACCCACCGAATTACCGAACGTCAAATAATAACCGATTCCCAGGATTCTACCACTTTTATGCCTCAATTTCGTTACTACTCCAAGATTTATAAGACCTTTTAAATAAATAAAGAATATACGTGAAATATTGTGATTATTACAAAGCATTATATTAATTATTAATTACTATGTGAAATATTGTATTAATTTCTTAATAAAACTGTTCTCCAGTGAGTAATTATTATTTTATTTTTCCCCCTCCTCAGGATTTCCTTCTCGCATTGGTGTAATTGAACTCGGATAAAAATTTCTCGGAAACACGCGACAACGAGTGGCGCACGGTTTCTCTCATCCTCGTTACCCGATTCCTCCCTAACCCGATCTCGCACCACTCGAGGTTTAAACCTCTCTCGAGGTCTCTATGTTCCCGGGGTTTTTAAATTCGCGCGAGAGATCTCGAGCACGACGGCGGCTATAGACACAGCTACCATGTATTCATTACACACGCCTACCATGACAAATTAACGCGAGCATTCAAGGCGAGCTGAATCTACGGGGCCGCGATCTTTGCAGTTCGCTACAGAATTCAGATCTTGTATAATCTTGGATGGATACACAGAACCCGGGATTGAAAATGTCATGAAACTTTTAAATAGAGTCTATTCAAAACGTGACTCGTGCAACGTAAAAATATTTTACCGTTAGACCGAAGATTTTTACACAAAATAAGTTAGTTTATAAAATAGAATCTAATTCGAAAAACCTGCAGTCTAATCATAAGCAGTTTCATTATTTTTAGAGAATCCATTTTATACATAAGCCAGGCTAATGAATTAATAAATAAACAATTCTAAATAAGTTCAAACAGGATTGTTTGAAAAACAGAAGATAATTGTTTATTTCGATTGGAGTAATCGATTAGGAGATGAAATGGATCAAAACGTGGTTGCGCGATACAAGAAGCTACGTGGGCGAGGAATATTTTCAACCGTGAACATTTGCATTACCAATCGTGGGCGTCGATGATTAACCTTTTCAATCGGTCAACTTCGGTTCGACAATGGGCAATGTTTTCCCTTCCCGACCTTTCACTAAAGCTGACCTCGTTAAAACGACAAAGTGGATAAACCGCGTCGAATTAAACCGTCAGGAAAGCCTACCATTCGCGGGATTGCACTTAAATCTAGCTGTCCAAGTGTCCTTCAGATACGCGAATCAACATTGCAGCTCTAAAGACGGTTTAACCCTTATGTGCTACCTGAAGTGAAATTTCAATCCCCTAGAATTTTATTTTAAATCCGTCCGAAAAACTTGAAGTCCTTAAATTCACGAAAATGAACAAATTAACGGTCTTGACGTAAGAAAGGACGTATAATGGGCAACAGGAATAATAATAATGACAAGAATTATCTAAGCAAGATTCTATAATCAAAGTTTTAAAAGTAGAAGAATTGCGAGCAACCTTGATGAAACTCCTCCAAGTACGGAGGTAACGAAGGTAAAGAGAAAGGGGAGAAGAGTGCGAAAACGCGGGATGGCAAGGTGCCGGGTCGGTGCACATGTCAGATTTATAGTCGCCATAAAAGGCAGCCGAACTTCCGTACTTGTACATATTTGGTACTTGGGAAGTTCGGTGGTTCGCACGCGTGTACGTGAAGGCGTAAACCGAGAATATACGATCGCGACCCGATGTTCCGACGTATGCTAATTTGCCACGAGAATTAAACTGGCATCAAGCTGGCATTAAACAACGACGCGATCGTTATGGAAACTGTGAATTCTCCTATTGATCGCTTTTATCGCGTGCTTATGATCTTATCATACTCGTGCTTTTATTATACGTTTTATCTAGAATACATTTTCTAAACTGACACTACTTAAATATTTTATATGAAATTGAATTGCGTCCAATGATCCGAATCAGGGATGGACAATGGAGGGTTGAATCCTGTCACGTGGCAAACGATTATAACATTTTCAGTATCCAAGTCCGTAACAATGTTCAAGAGCTCGAAAATACGAAAGGTTAAGGGTAGGAACCTTGCCGTAAGGTTCAGCGAAAGTAGTGGACCGAGAGGACACTTAACGAGCTGATGCAGTTTAATGGGCGAGTATTATATCGAGATCCCATAATCCCAAACGTAATCCCGGTGCACGTTGCTTCGGTTGTTCACAGAGATGCCGACCTTTGAGCACCTAAACGTCCCGATGGCTAAACCGTATTATCGACGCGGCAAATTGCACGCCCTTGCTACCGTAAACTTGTTCACGATCGGTTTCTTATCTTTTATTAAGCTTGCGGCAAACACCGAACCGTAACGCGACCCGTGCAAATATTTAGAGGATAAGCGCTGTAAGTTACTGTTTCATGCAATAATAAACGTGCCATCATATACGGAAGGTAAAGGAATTTTTCTCTTGTAACATATTCCCATGTGTATCATAATTTGTACATTTACCCAAAAGCAGTCAAAATGACTTCCTTGGGCAATCTAGTGTTAATATGCCTCTTGAAATAAACAAGAATGATACGACTTATTATATGATTTATAGTAACAATGATACAAGGATATGACACAAGTGGATACGCACTTCAACAGAGGACACGAATGCACAGTTTGGTAATCGATTTTGCAGAGTACGGATCGAACGAGTCCGTCCCGGCGGAAAATTGAATTCATCCTGGTAAACATCGAGTCCCTCGAGGACACAATAGAACGTAGACGGAAGAAAAGAGTTAGTCGAGCGAGGAAAAACGGGCGAAGAAAAAAGGGAAAAGAGCGTCGGAGCTATCGAGAGAAGCTGGGCAAGTGTAAAAGGTAAGAATTCGCGGTGGTCTCGATCTCGAACCGGTCGCGACGGTAAACGCGCGTTTATTCACTCTCCCCTCTTTATTGGATTCCGATATTGGCCGGTGCTTATTCCCCCATTTATAATTTTCATCGTTAGGTCGCAACGGCGACGCGGTGACATCGCGCCGGGTCGATGAAGAGCTTCCACGTGCCCTTTACGTCGCGCTCCAATGAATATATTTCCGTCAACTGTGTAAGACTTCGCTTTGCCGGTCACGGTTAAGTGAAACGTTCCCCTAATAGAACCGCCGCAAATTTAACGTTCGTTTAGATGTGTTCCGTAATTGCATCCGATACGCTCTTCGTTCGAAACTCTTATTAATTGTAAGGAACCGATTCATCGTGTAAGAAATAATTAAAAATCGCATTCTAGTTTTTATTAGGACTTACCGATATTTGGGTGCTGCAATTTCCTGCATATCCGCGCCTCGCGTTCAAGCTTTTGGAAATCTGAAACAAGCAAAAGCACGTAATTGTTTATTACACGTTGAGAGATGATATCTAAAAGAATGCACATAACGTATAAAAACATACAGAATATTAGAATGCTTGCATTGCTTAAATATTCTACATCATATTTTTCAAGCTGACACCATAAATGTTTTAGTTCACTGAAAAGTGCACAGTCCACGACGAGGTACATAGGATTATTTATAGAATCCGGGGGGTTGACGTCGGTCAGACGAATCGTCGGACAGGGTAGATGACGAATTCCACGCGTTGCGACGCTCGTAACGGATTCGAGGCAGCTTTATCGCAAAAGTTTCACCGTAACGACAACCAATGCCGGGTATAGTCATTACCGCGAAATCGAATTTCCCAACGAGCTCCCTTGACGAGTTTCCTCGTGGGTAATTCAGCAAGGACCGCGATAAAATTGGATTTGTCGTTGGCCAAGTCATTTCGAGCACGATTTCCTGTTTCCTTTCTGTCGTACCAACGCCACGGTCCTCCTTGGAGGGTCGCGACGTCGATTCCCTACCTATTATCGGATTCCATTCCTTACTTATTAAATACGATCGCTCCTTTTTCGCCGAATCCGATTTCTCCCTTGGCGAGGCGAGCTTTTATTTTATTCTGCGAAATAGATTTTTTAATGTAGAAATACTTGGATCGAAATAGTTGGTTCTCTCAAGAGAAACACGTGGCCACTGCTCGATACAAACGCATTTAAAATTATACTCCTTCTATCAGTGTTGCGTCACTGCTTGTCGTATATAGATTTATTATATGATTTTTCTATGATTCATTATATTGTTATATAGAGAACGCGAAGGGTAAGAACGACATTCTCGAATAACCCAGTTTTCCCGCTTTCTTCTTTCTTTTTTATTATTCGTCGAGTGGTCCCGTCCTCCAATTTGCTTCTCCTCATGCGACTCCAGTGTTCTTCGCGGGCCCTTCCCGCCCGTGCTCGTTAATTCTGGTTGTTTAAGCGTGGATGCGGGAACGAAGACCGTCAAGTCTCGTTACCCGTTGGAGATTTAATTATAAGTGAGAGAAGAAGACGCGACGCGAGCTGAAAGGGAAGAAAACGAGTGCGCGATCTTCTCGAAGCCAATGGAATACCATTACGTCTCGTGCCTTCAACGTAGCGTACGGATAAAGGGATCTAACACGGTGCTTCGAAAAACACTTTCTTAAGCGTATTAAACTATTGAAGGGAAACCGTGAATTCGTTTCCCACAGCTGCCGACGCTTGACGAGCAATAATTACCTTAAGAACGTCGCTTTTTATTTAATCGGATACTAACTACTTCTTCGAGCGTATTAAGTCACGACTATTTGTTGCAATGCCTCCGAACTTTTTTAGAGCGAAGCTTTAATCACATTTTTCGGATACATTATAATTTTTAATGTAACACAGGCTCGTTATAATTATACTCTTCTATCGCGAACCGACGATTCCAATGCTTTTTGTTGTCTTTTGTTGTCATTGTTAATTTACAAAATTGAAATAAATCTAAAATTACGGAACCTTAAGAGAATCTGAAATAAAATACAAGCTACGGTAGGGAAAACGATCACTCATCGACCTGACAGTCCAGGTACTCTTAAGGAAAACAACTTTTCCTCATAAATTCTTGTGCGTCTAAAAGCCGGCGGATCATTGAAACACGTTCAGAGTTCCCGCGAGACTCGTTCCCAAGCATCTAAAATGTGATCCACGGTCGTTGGATAAATCGAATTCCCTGTCGTGTGCCATGAATCAAATTCTACTCCCCATACGTATTTTGATACGCATCTTACAGTTTAAGGCACTTCCCAATGATTATTATCCAGAAAGTTTGACAAATGTTCCGATAGAGATTATCGCGATTGAAAGTTTATACGAAATCATATAAAATCCCATGATTTGTTACATGATTTACAACTTAGCTTCAGTGTACAATCTTCTAATCGAAGCTCACTAATTTGCAATTACTGTCGAATTTTTTTTAAAAACAATTTACATATACATTTCTTAAGATGCCGAACGGTGATGTACTATATATTACGTACGCTATTCTTTCTGCAGTTTTTTCGCTCGTCCATCGAGGACGAGAAAAGAATGCGATACGAACGGGGCCCGATATAAAAATAAAGACAAAGCGGGATATTCTTCCTTGTTTGCAAGCGTTTGAACGCGCGTTACCTGCAAGGCCGATCCGCGCTTTGCGTTCGATGGAGCACGAATGTCATGAAAGTCGGCAAAAACTCTTTCACCCTCGGTGCGTCGAGGGACGCGTGGAGAGACCGTCCGGGGCGGGAGGGGGTGGTAGTGGAGCCGTGGAACGAAGGGTGAGGACGCGGCAGCCCTTGATCTCTCGGGCGTGATAAGAACGCACCGTCGATGAGCACGAGCTCTCACGTCCCGGGAAAATGCGAACGTGAACTTGATAGCGATAAATATTAGCCTGGTGCATATAAAATATATCTTTGAACGGTAATTGCGCGATTCTTGTGCACATTTCATTGAAATAATTATTGTTTTACATTCTCCTGAATAATTTTGTTAAGAATGTATTAATTAAATATTACGTTATAAATACAATTGAAGATTTATATATTTTTGTGATGAGATCTGCTCTGTTATATGAACTGTTCTGAATTTTCTCATCTTGCGTTGCAGAATAAAATAAGCAAATACTATGTTTTACATTCTCCTGAATAATTTTGTTAAGAATGTATTAATTAAATATTACGTTATAAATACAATTGAAGATTTATATATTTTTGTGATGAGATCTGCTCTGTTATATGAACTGTTCTGAATTTTCTCATCTTGCGTTGCAGAATAAAATAAGCAAATACTATTAGCGTTCTTGCTTGTATTCAAAGATAAATGCATATTATAATAAATAGTTGAATAAACGTAATACGAATGTTTGATTTCCTTTATGTTCCTTCGTAACTACGTCGTCTTACCGTCCACCTAACTGGGTCAAGCTTTCAGAGCAAACAAGGACTCAGCCCTGTTTGCCGTTCGCCGGTATTTAAAATAAAGGTAAAAACACGGTTAGATTTATGAATGGAATCTCGCGATGATCGCCGGCCGTTGCACCGAGCAAACGGAATCCGTCGATGCGCTGGGAAACAGGGAGGAAATTACGTGGAACAATGACTCCGCGTCGATAAACAGGGAATACAAAAGAGAACTGATACGAGGGTGGAGGGCGTAGAGCCCGTTTCAATTCCCGTGGCGGTTGCGAATTAGAATTTCAAATGCGAACCTCCGAACGCAGAGCGCGCGATTAATTATTCCCCGAAATGGAAGCAACCGAAGATCGCTGCGCTCTTGTGTTACAATCTGGTAGAACGAAAATCTCATAACGATAATGATCAGAGGAAATCCTTCAAACATTTCCTGCGACACTGTGGCGCAGAAATCATTTCGTAAAACGGGTGTAAAAATTTAACAAGATATTCCCATAAATAAACTGAATATTTTCTCTAATTCATTTGGTCAAATACCTCCGTTGGTCGTTTTAATCGAGGGTGTTTTATGCATAACTGGTCCCTCGCTTTTATACGATTTTATTCCGATCCTGTAACGTTTCGCGCAATGCACTGCAGGTGAGCTGTGCAACAATTTTCTCTAGCGGATGGCAAACGGACGTGCGTGGGAATATCGCAGGCTCATAAATATGAATACGTAAGGGATATGTTTGTAAAACATGAAACCGAGCGTAAACCGGCAAGGCAAGTGCCGTTTAAAATATGACCAGTGTTATGTTTGCGATACGTGCTGCTACATTCCCGAACCGCTGTACCACAAACCATTCGCTTTTTCAATTCGGACGCCCAAACGAATATGCACTCTCGGAATTTTGATTAATTAGGTCACGGGAATCGAATGGCAAACCTGATCAGAGTGCGATGCTGTATCAAAAATCGAATAAATGTGCAGTCACGGATGTATGTATGAATTCAATGACTAGACTGCGAATTTTATTTATAAAAAGACTGAACTTTTATATTATGCAATCACTGCATGTAAACCGTGGAATTATATAAAAAGTCAAAAATGAATTGCGGTATTTCGTGTTAACAATAATAGTTCACAAAAGATAAAAATAGTTAACAAGAACGTTTCCCAATATAATTAGGTATTATATTATTATAATTAAGTATATTATAATAATTTCTCAACGTTTCGTATAACGAATTCGATTCCCTATTTATGCTCTTTACTGTATATTAAAATGTGTGTAAGAAATCCGAGAAAATGACAGGGAACCGTACGATTCTAAAATGAACCGGCCCAGAGAAGTTTCCTGGCACCGATCGGGCCGATTCAAGGTTTCAGCAACGAATCGGTCGCGCTTTATTCGTTGGAGAAACACGCGGGTGAACAGGAACGACCGTGACGGTAGGTCAAGAGGTTACTGGAGCAAGGTCGTGGAAGAGAGGGTGCAGCCGCGGCATCCCTCTCGGCCTGGCAACCGGAGTAACAGAGGGAGGAAAGGAGAGAGGCGTTCATCTTCTCTCTGCCTACCACTGCAATCTTCTTTTTTTTTCTTTTGCTTCTTCTCCCTCGTTTTACCTCTGCGGAGAAACTGGAACCGCCGGCCAAAGATAGGGCGAGCCAGTTTCATCCCCTATGCGGCCAACTATATTCCAACATGGTTCCCAGTCAATATATGCCCCCCTCTACGAGACTCGGGATATACTTCAAACCATGTGATCGAATGAGACGTTGAATAAAATAAAATTGATATTTTAACGAGCCAGCAAAATGAAACGTTGTATAAACTTGAATGGACAAAATAAACTTGTGATATTTTAATGACTGAACATAAAGAATAATGTCAAATTTCAGTGCTTTAGAATTACTATCTGGCTAACATCCTAATAAAGTATATTGTTATTACGCACTGGAATTGGGAGAACGATTTCCGGACAGGAGATGTAGGAATGGTTAGCAGCGCAAGAGAAACAAACGGAATACGTTTCTGTTGCCGGCCTCTTAGGCTACCCACTCGTTTGTGTACGTTGTTCAGTTTGGCCAGTTGTAACGTACTCGACTGCGTCAAAACTAGCCATCCGTGAATATTTGGCCGATGCCAATAGAAACAGCGACGAAATTCATATTTTCTTGCTTTCTCTGACCGATGAGGTTTCTTTATAATATTAAATACCGAAAATAAAATTGTTTTATCATAGAATAAACTATAATGCGGTTTGTAACTTGATGCAAGAACCAATGTCAATATTTAGAAAATTGAGATATTAACATTTGAAGATATGTTAATAAAAGTTTCTGCCACTTTATTTTCTAATAAGAAGGAAGCATTGAAGCTTTTGCTGTCTTTCATAAATGTCGGATCATTAGTTTGACGAATTTATTTTATAATTTCGATAAGATATGAATGGTAATTTTCTATTTAAAATGTAGCACTGTTTAAAAATTCGATACCTGTCTCAACTAATTCTTACAAAGATATGATATTACGATTTTTCACCGAAGCGATAAAGCATGGAACGTCCGAGTTACAAATTCGCCTGGAGTCGTTTCCATTATCTCGGGCAAGACGTGATTCGACAAAAGAATTTGTCGCCTCGGTGGCCACTGGAAAGGTCCGTACGTCTTCTGACGTCAATCTCGTTATCTCGACACTCGCGGACGCGTTCTGTCCTCGCAACTTCTATGCGAAGTTCGACGCGCGATGGTATTCTTAAAGAATCTCCCCGCTGAAGACTTCCTCTCCCCCTGCCTTTTGTCCCTGTTCCCCGTCGCAACTATCCCGAGGAACTTATCGTTTATTGTTAGACGTTCCAAGAGACGTGCCGACGTCAAACACCTTTTTGCTCCTCTTTGATTTTTCCCCTAACAAACGGATTCTTGGCCCTGCGTTCTACGAGTGACCCGCGAAAATTCCGCTCGTCGTACGAATTCTAAGGCTCGCATGCCGACCACCGACGTCGAGGCGAACGGCCCGACGACTTTCCCAAATTGACCTGTTGACGCCGTTAACAAAACCCAATCGAACCCTCGATATTCAAAGCTAACGAGGGAATGCACGAGGTTTTTATTTATTGCACACGAGCTAGAGGAATCCTTTAATACCGTTACGGCGTAACACCACTTGAAAAAGTTTTAATCAATCCCGTAATATGATACTGAATGAGAGCCCTTGAAAAGTGAATGTATGCAGTAACAAGATACTGATGAAAAACAATTAAAAACTGAAAACAGGAGAACAGATTCCATATCGTTGAATTCCAGCTACAATACTATTTCCAACATTCAATTAGACTTCGTACATTTCAATGTTATTCCATTACACGTGGTTTACGATTGACCCAGAATTTTCAGCTAGAATAAAACGACTGTAGAGATCATAAAATTTCGTCATACTACAAGAGTTTGGAAAAATAAGGAAAAGACGTCGATGATTCTTTCTTATATTTCTGTCTTAGAACTGGCAGTCCAAACGTTAAAATTGAATTTACTCGGATGAGGAGAGTCAGAAGGTATCGCCTATTTCGAATAATTTGTATCGTACATTCGTATAAGTAAATCAGTCTCCTTTTTCGTAAGTTAGCACGGCGCGAAACGTACACGCGAGACGCGGGATGAGTCACGCGAACACACATTAGGACTCGTGCCAAGGGATCGATCGATAGCGACAATAAAGCTTATGATACAGCCAGCCTGGATGGCGATCCACGTTCCACGCTAAATATATCAATCCATCCGGTATCTGTTCGTCGAAACGTAGATCGGGGACTTTACTATCCAGAGAGTCAATTGGGAAACGACTGTTTATTATCAAACTTCCGTAGTCATCGAGCGTTTGTATAATCAATTATGTACCGTCATTTACCAACAAATTACCAATCGATCAAAACGTATAGACATTGTCAAATAAAATGTAAACCGCGAATTGTTTATAAATGAAAAGTTTATGCTTAAAGTAAAGCATTAAAATATATTGTTTATAAATCATAGCGTTTGCGGTTTTCATAATAAATAATACATTTGTTACTGGACGAAGATTTAACGTTCTCGACTTGTTTAAGAATTTCTTTGAGGCTCGACCGTGAATCGAACGTCGGATAAAGAATCTCGAGAATCCATGCTTGCAAAGCGCGCGAGCCGGTCTCCTTGGTTCTTACAGTCAGCTTCTTAATCGCATTGACAGTCGCGGCATTTATCGGATCGGTTTTACTTGATATTTTGATTGATTCGATTATACGTCGTTTGTCTGGCTTCCGGTGCCACCCGCTGCTTTATTTACTTTGCTTTTCAGCTTACGGCGGCCGGAATTTCGCGGCAAGTGGGGATAACAACGTTTTCTGGATGGAGGAACGTACGGCCGCCCGGCGCGGCACTGGCAACTGTTGGTCGCGGTGGAATGTTGGCAGTCTGACAACGGCGTCGCTCGTTGTTTTTAGACGGTAACGCTAAGTCTTTTTCGGTATAGAGGGTACCCTAGGCTCTTCGCGCGATTCTCACTATAATCATTGACTAAATGACGAGAAAGCATGTATTCAAAAAAGACTGTCACCCCTCGCAGAAAGTTTTGGGTCAAATATAACGGATGACCGAACTTTGTGCATTTATAGAAAAATTATATAGAATTTTGCACATATTCAAAGAATTGACAAATTAAATAATGAAATTATTAATCATTTAGCAAGTTACCGAAGGAACTGATAAATTATTTAAATGAAAAATAATATGATATTCTTAAAAAAGTACATATGCTCAGTTTGAAAAAAGCGACATTTCGTATGCACCAACTTGGTACATAGCGAACACTGGACTTACCTCTGGGCGTGAGCTTTTTCGTGTTTATTATTTTCGCCGCAAACTCGTGACCTGTATTTCTTTGAACGCATCGTCGTACCACAGAAAAGGCACCCCTGGAACAAACCAAATAACAATCCCATTAATTGCCGTGGAGAACACATAAAAGCAAATGGATTGTTGACCTTTAATTGCTTCCAGAATGGAATAAAAATCAAATCCAATGTTCGATTTATATATTAATAATAAATAAGTCGAAGCCTGATTGAATACGAACAAACGTATTGAAATAAGCTGATACCATAAATGTTGTAGCATAAAAACCGGCAGTGTAATTATTTCTATTATGCAGTAAGAGAAATGAGAATGAATGAAAGTATGAAACAGTCTTACGGATCTACTGTAGTCAAGAGGTAAAGAGTTTTCTAGTCAGGATCGGACCGTTAATTGCGCACACGCGAATTAATAAGAATAAACAATTGCTAGCGGAGGGGTCTTGGACTTCGGACGCAATTGTTTAGTTCCTAAACGGTGTCCATTGTCTCTGGATAATCGGGTGACGGGGAAAAAGAAGGCGGCGTAGGCGAAAGATGACCTAGATCCACCTCGATGCAATTAGCGAACGAAAGGAATTGAATTTCCGGGTGCGTCATTATTCCCAAACCATTGTTTACTCAGATCGAGTAACGATAGACCGAAAGAGCGACCTCGTCTCAGCTGATATGTTTTTATTGAAATTACGCAGCTATTGCGTTTCCGGTGTTTCACGTTTCATTCAAATTAGTCGACAGTCGTAAATCGAGTCTTCGCGAACACACGACGCGGAAAACGCTTGTAATTGGGTAGGAAAAAGGACCGGTTTACGGTCGGTTTAGTCTGAAAAGTCGTGCTCGCACACCTGCGAAATTGTCTTCTGGGTTCTTAAACCGAATGGGCACCGAATAGTACGGGGTAATAGAAATTTATTAGAGCTATAGAGGTTGATCGGCTATTTCCAAGAACAGCACAGTATCGACGTAGCGCAGTGATAATGAGCTATTAATAACTCTGGCTTGTCGTCGAAAGGATTGAAAAAGAAGCGAAGTTGCTTGGGGGGGCGGGGGGTTAGTTGAGCGATGTCAGGACGAAATGTCAAACCTCGCACGATGCTGTGTTAAACTAGTTCAAGGCAGGATGGATCGGCGCAAACGCAACTTTAATGTTTTATCCTGCGGGTTAGGTCGGCCAGGCCACGCCGCGCGCGGAAACTGCGAACAAGGAAAAAGGGCAAGGCGAGGCGAGGTGAACCCCACGGGTCTCCATGGAAACTGATCATTACCGGAGATTGTCGAGCCACCTGCCACGATCCACCTGGATCACGTGCAGCATTATCGAGTTCGATCAGCCTGCTGCATCGTTGGCAATGCTCTTAGTTAGTCGAAGCTAGTTTCGAGACACTGTTCCTACTTCTTCTTGGAAACTTAGCCCCGTTAATATTCCCTTTGGTGAGAACTCTTTGGGCAAATGGAACGAGATAAGATTCTGTAGCACGAATGGTCTAGGAGCCACGAATTTCTCGGATGTAATTAGACGTCCCAAAATATTTTAACAATTTCAGTCAGAATTTTAATTTATATTTATTCAAATGAAAAATACAGAATAGTATTTGTCGATTATTAGGGGAGTTGTGAAAAGAATTCTTTAATTCTATAAATCGATATGCGACATAATAACCAGCATGCGTACAAAAATGTATAATGGAATACTTGGTTCCACTTGGATCAACGCGTTGAAACGCTCCTTCGGCAGTTCAATGCCGTCTATTCGATCGACTTGACTCTCATAGAAATCCGTGGACCGAACCTGAGGCGGTCTGGCCAGGCCCGTTTACGTTCCCGTTTAATCGTGCTTGGCGAACGATTGGAGCAAGTCGCACTTGGCGGGGAATCGGCTCGGCTCAATTTACTAAAACGAGCTACTACGACTCCGGATCTCCGTGCCAATTAACAAAAACGCCGGCCGAACATCGCGCTTTCTCTAAATTACGTATCTGATAAGCGAGGCGCCAGCATTATACAGAGCGATTCAACGGACATAGTCGTATTAAATAATAATAAATGATTATTCACATTGAATAGTGGATTCATATTTTCTTACAAATCATAATTCATTTTTCTCGACTTCAAATATGTAAAATAATAATTTATTAAAAATATTTAATGTATTCACCTCAGACCAAAGTGAAGTGACGAAAACTAGGGAAGAGCAAAGATTTGTCTGTTTGTAAAATTGAAAAATAATGAATATTCCGCATTCAATTATGACGGTAAAGGAATCTTGCTGTCTATATTTTCCATAAGAATCAACGCCAATTCTACATTATTATAATCAATCATGACTTAACTCGTTTGATGAATTTTTTTAATAGTACCATGCTATTTCAAATTAAAATCCTTATTCATTCAATCTATCCTAATCGATTTTATCATTACTCGTTTCGAGGACGGACACATGAAATTTTGAAACAATCGAGATCAATTCGACAGATAAGTCGAAGCGCGGAATTTCCGCAAGGGAATCTCCAGCCCAGAGATATTCTATTATGTAGTAGCTGAATCAGATTGTGGAGGGGAATGGAATCGCAACGGACGATTACGGGAAAATTGAAACGCGACGGAGGTGCGAGGGAAATTTCACGATTCTAAAGATAGAATTCTAGCCGGAGCGGATTTGTCGCGGTCGCGTTTTATCGCGATACATTCAATTACGAGCCCCACTCATTCCGTGCGACCGTGCATACTTTTCTCACGAATATTATATGATTTATCGTATAATTTCCTAGACCATTTTCACCGTACATAATTCGTTATACAATTTTTTACATAATTCACGATGATAAGCTACAAGTGGATACAAGCGGCTCAAGATGAGAGGAGGAACGAGAATGCGCGCTTTTTTAATCGCTCCGCCGTTCTCGCGGGCAACCTCATCGTTATTCGCGTGCACGAAGATTGCACGGTGCGCCGGGCAAAGGACGCGCTCCGTGCTCAACCTATTTTTCCTGGGTGCCTCCATTTTCATCTACTCTTGGCTGTTTACGTAATCCGTAGAAGAGCCTCGGAGAAATTGGAGGAAAATTGCGAGGAGCGAGACATCTTTCTCGAGTGTTCCTCGAGCCGGCTGAAGAAAATCGAAAGCCGTGTACGTGCCACAACGGAGATGCCTCTCGTTGCCAAAAAGTACTGTGAATTCTCGATACGAGCACAGGCCTCGGGTACGTAAACCTGCACGAAAACGAACGAAGAGAACAGCGAGAGAGCGAACGAGGAGGTACTGAGCACCCGAGACGGACTCGAGGGTGCAATGGAAATCTCTGTAAATGTAACGGAGGAGGAAGTTCGAGTTTACATGGAGGAATCGCCGCGTCGTGTAGGAAGCTAGTGAAAAAAATATTGTACAAATTGAGAAAAGGTGGGATGGATGAAACTAGCGACGCAGAAACGGTGGTGAAGCGGCAGCGGCCTTGAATCGAACTAGTCGGCGTGCAACTAGGGCGTGCAAGAGCGACGAGCTTTCAAAGCGGAGTCTCGTTGCACGACGACACACGTCGATACCTTTAAATACACGAGCGACCCGGCCTTTCCCTGTGTATGCGCGTATCCCACGTTAAAGTAGACGACGATAGGAGAGTGCACGGGGCTATAAACGTGTTCCCGGCGCCGTTTTACTCGCTGATCGATTCACCTCGCAGCTCACGAGCGGGCGAGATCGGTATATTTCTATTTTATGCTCCCGGGGATCCTTGGATTCGTGAAATCGAGCGACGGCAACCCTCGTAAAGGACTCCGCCCTTGCTGGCTAACCCTTTGACGAATTCGAAGGAGTTTCTGTCGTTCGACGTGTAGAAACAGGGGAGAGGCAGGAAATTGATGCGTTCGTTATTTACGAGGCCAACCTTGAACGACTATCTATAGGCATCGATGGATATCTCGCGAAGACGAACAAACTCGACCTTGTTGCGATTTTCTCGATCCATAACCGCAAGCAGTTTTTCTAGATCCATTTCCCTCTTTGATCAAAAGTTTGAAAGTACCAACGTCGCATGGATCGCTTAAGGATGTATAGGCTATATAATTAATGCTAGCATGTTGAATTCGTTATTAT